AGGTAATTATTCAATTCTGTCGACAGTGGGATTTGAACTCTAGACCTCTTGCATGGTGGTCCGACAACCTAACCACTTCACTAGATCGCCAGACCTCGTACTAATATCAATTAAATATTAGAAGTATGATACAATATTCAAGTTATATTACAAAAATTAATCTTGATAGAATTTATGAGCAAAGGATCTGTATAGTAGAATCTTAAGTTTGATGAAATAGTACAGATTTTGATAGTTATACCAGTTAATATTTAATCTAATAAAGAAATCTGTATATAAAAATATAAATTGAGTAAGTACAAATAAGTTTGCTATATAATATAGCTTAATGCTTTATATTAGTAGAAATACTAACTTAGCTTAGCAGCTAACTAGATTAGAAAGATCTACCTTATAAAATATCTAATTAGAATCTTAAAAGACTAATCTGGTGAAGAGTTATAGTAGAAACTGAGTTTATACAAATATCAATAAAGATATAATATAAATGAATTTATAAAATAGACATATAATCATTTTGGTAGAATTCACTTCTGAGATTAATTGAAACTCTACATACTTACAATATATTAGACAAATATATATTTTGAGAAGATTTAAATTGTGCAGTAAATAGATCTACAAGCAAGTCAACTAACTTAAGCAATCAAATATAATAGTAACATTAATTTAGAAGAAGAAAAAAGTTAATGATTAAAGTATTTAAATAGGTAACTCACAAACAGGTTGCAGATATAACAACATAATGTAAAACCAACAGATAATCAATTGTCTATATAATGAACTACTTAAATTAGATAATAATTAAAATTGTATATGTAACTTGTTGTATACTTATCATATAATTATAAAACCTTAGGAGATTATTATTTTAGTAACTCTGTAATAACAAATTAATAAAATCTAATTGACCAAAGAGACAGCCTTAATAATAAAAAAAAAAAAAAAATTTAAATCACATCTAAGCAGTATTATATATTTTAGATGTCCAAGCTTTTTTTGACTTATTTCATACTGTTCTGTTCCTGAAACATCCCAACTTTGCCACTTAATATTTTGTTTTTTAATTTTAAATTATATAAAAAAATGATACAAATATATATAAATTTTAATTATAAATCTTTTTTATTAAGAACCAAAAAGAAATTTTTTTAATAAAATTTTGTGCTATTATCATTTTTTTAAACTTTTGATTTCATACCATTTTTGTCTCAATTTTGTCTCAAACTGTCCCGTGTACAACAGCATCTAAATGTATCAAAAAAGTGAGGAAGTATCAAAATCGTAAGCTTTGCTACTGAAGTAGTTAATATTTCAGCCCACTCTAATGAGAGACAAAATCAAAAATTATTTTTATTAATTCTAGATATCTGTATATTGGATTTGATTAGGTAGTTGCGATATATTCGATAAAATTTTAAACAATTAACAAGATATATTATTTTGATTGGTCACTGCATGCCTGCTTTACGAAAAGCGAACTTAATTTTCATAATGCAGATCATTTTCATTTTAAAATAAATTGCCAAAATATTTCTTACTAACATGAGGTTGGCAATTTTATTAAAAAATAAGAAGACAAAATAATCTTGTGTGTGATATATGAATACATAAAATAAAAAAAAGAAATTAAATAAAGTCAAAATCTCGCGGAATTTCCAAAGTCCTTTTATCATGAACTTGAAACACTTCAAATTCATCAACAGAAAAATAATCAGTTGAATTTCTAATTGGTTTTTCATATACAGATTTTTTACATTTACATTTTTTGTCTTCTTCAAAATTGTTCATCATCACAAGATCATTATTACCAAAGTTTGGGCCACCAGTGGAAAAAGAGGAGTACCAAAGTGCAAGATTTGGATCTTTTACACGACTAAGAACTGAATTACGGAAGTTTGTTTTATCCAGAGAAAATAAGAAACTATCATTTGTTTTAATGATTTTTCCCAATTTTTTTCCTTTATTCCATGGAAGTGGATTATATCCACCTATAATTTCTTCAGTGCCTTTAATTTTCAATACAATGATGGTGTTGCCCTTATTATCACAAAAAGCATGAAATGCTTTAGCACTAAATCCATCACGACTTCCTCGAAAAATTAACTCAAATTCATAAGGATTCCTTGCAAAGTTATATGTGATGCTCCGCCTGTCTATCCAAGAAGCAATTTCAGCGGTATGTCTTTTCGAGATAATGTTCGAAAATAAAGGAGTTGATAAAGTTGACAAAGGAGAAAACGTAGAAAGCTCATTAGAATTTGAAAAAGTTGGGGTCGTTGTAACATCTGATACCTCACGAGAGGGTAAAAGTTGAGTATTTACGGATTTGGCTGGGGAAACAAATTTTGACATTATATTTGACCATAAGTCTGGATCAAGGATTTGTCGGTAAGGCTGTACTTTATTTATGATGTCTTCATCGAGAATTTGGAAATATTGAATTAAAGGTAAGCATCGATTAAGTGTATTTTTCAAAGTCAAAAAATCATCATTGGACCATTGGGTAGGATCCGATGTTAGTTTTGGTGTCTGAGCAATTCCCCATTTAATGATATAATTCCAAATTATTGACTCTTTAACCTGCAAGTCGTCACGTTCAAGAAGAGCAACCAAGGCGTTTTCTTGAAGAGAATCAAAATCCTCCATATCAAACACTAGCTCTGGGTTTTTTACGATTATGTCAGTGCAGAATCTTTGTAGGATCTCGAAATTTTCAATTTTAAAACTTGTTCGATGAATCGGTATTATATTCAACTGAATCCAATCTGATTGTGTTTCAGTTAGGTGCGTTTGAATATATGATACTAATTCGTCCAGGCCAAATTGATTCGAGATAATAAGGAGCCTAAAAATTTCAGATGGATCCCCAATTTTTTCTAAGGAGACAACACCACCATATATATAACTAAATGCATAAATGAAAATATGTTGGATTTTTTTAATCATAATAAATTTATCGATTTAACGACTTACTTGAGTATATTGTTAAAAATCTCGACAGATATCTGTTTTATTTTAATTTCTTTAATATTCTCACGGTTTCTTGGAATATTTTCCAATTCTCGAAGAAAATAAGGGCAGCGTTGCGATAAAATTGCTGAATGAACTTTAAATAACTTAATATTAGGATTTTCTCCAATTTCGATGGTCACATTATAATCATATTCATTCTCGAGTAATTTGGTGAAATCCTGAGATAAACGTTGAAGAAAGTTGGTGGCCATTTTTGTATGTTATATCGACAGAAAGGTTATCAGATGTTTCAAGAAAACAAAACCTTCATTTAAAATTGCTAAATGCGTTTTTCTATTTTGAGTTGAACCTAATTTAATATGAAAATTTTTTGCGGGATGCATTTTTTTTAGAATTTTTTACTATTAAACCTCCTAAATTAAAACAAAAAAAAGAACATTATAAGTCAATTAATCAACTTTTTAATTGGTCTTTATTAATGATTTTCTAATTTGAATATTGTCTGTATTAAAAACAAACCAATCATAATTTAAAAATTGTTTGTTTTTATAATCTCTAAGCAAGCATATGTGTTAAAGTATAAAATTATAAAAACTTATTGGTTACGTATACTTAAATTTATTTTGCATAAAAATGCATTATATTATACAAAACATGCAAAGAGATTGAACATAAGCTCTAAAGCTTCCAATTAAAATTGGAATATGGAACTAATTGAATTGGATCAGGTCCAATTCAAAATTGACCAATCACACTCTTGTATTATTAAACAAATTAAATTGACCAATCAAATTGTTATATTACTTAAATATCTATCATTACTACACTATCGTTACAAATCACATAATTTTTCGCTTAATGACTCAAAAGCCACATCGCTTATCTTATTTAATTTTTTTACAAAAAAAAAAAAAGGTAAGAAAAAAGTGATCCGATGCGGATTTTATATAACTTACCTGATGACTCTAAGTAAAAAAAAGTTGTTCTCCTGGACTTTCCAGTTCTGACAGTGATAAGATCATTAAAATTGGCCCGGTAGAACTGTCGCGAATTTTGGTCGACGTTTTTTTTATTGGTTGATATACAATTTAAAAATATATATAAAAAAGTCGCCCAAAATTTGGGAAGTTATATCAACGGTTCTACTAGGCCGACTTTAATGATCTTATCACCATCAGAACCGGAAAGATCAGGAGAACAAGTTTACTTAGAACCATAAAGTAATTTAACTTAGTACAAATTCATATCGGGTTACTTCTTTAATTTAAAAAATTTTTTAATAATAAACATTTTTATACTGTATAAAATAAAGAAAAAATGGTTCTATACGAATTTCATACTAAGTTAACTTATTATTCTAAGTAAACTTATTCTCCTGGTCTTTCCGGTTATAATGGTGATAATACATCATTAAGTTCAGCCTAATATAACTGCTGATATGGCTTTTTGAAGTTTAGACAACATTTTATAATATTTTAGATTGGATAAACAAGGACATTCTGATGCTCAATTTTTATACGCCAAATTATTATTTTCAGGATATTCTTCTGAACGTCATAAAGATAATCGAATAAATATTGGTGCAGAAATGTTAAAAAAATCTGTGGATGCTAGAAATATTGAAGCAATGATTTATTATGGAAAACTTCAAATAAAAGGACTTTTTGACCTTAATTTAGAGTACTTCTTTTGAGCACTTTCACCAAGCTGTTCAAGAAGAGTTTCTATCTTAATCAAAATATCATCTTTCTTCATATTTTCTTCATTTTTCTGAGCATCAGCTTCTTTTTTTGTAATCAGTATTGGCCTAAATTGAAATAAATTAGTTTTATTAATAAATGTTTCAGTAATAAATTTTTGTTGAGCCATTTTTGCAAAATATATAAAATTTTTCAAATTGTCATCCAATTCATATTCTTTGCCTAAATTTCGACAGATATCTTTCAAGCTCTCTGAGTTTACGAATTCAAGACTTCACAGAAGAGCACAAAATCTTTGACATTCCATAGTTGAATCTAGTCGAGTTCTTGGCTCTGATAGTTAGCAATTGTTATATCTGATTATATTAAATAAGTTAGTCCTAAACTAAAATGTATTATAGATTTAAATTTTGTAAAATTAATTTGAAGTATAATTATTAAATGAAATACAAGTGAAAATTAAAGATTATTATTATAATCAATTAATTGAATTTATGTTTAGCTTAGAAAATTTTTTATAATTACGCATTGCAATCTTCCAATGATGATCTTGTGAAATAGGAGGTATTAAAGCTTTTAAAACTTTATTTATTTTCTCTATAATTGTATCTAATCCTTGATATTGTTCATAAAGCCTAGACCAAGAAATGATACAATTTCTCTTCACGATATTACGTATTTCAGAACTAAGTTGCATCAATTGAATTTCATCAGCAACTTCTATTAGTTGATAAATAGGATGATGCCTCGCGGACCAAATAGGAGAAAATGCTCTTTTTGCAGCTCTTTTCAAAAACGGATCATTGATTCTTATGGCTTTTCGATAATTGACAATTGCTTGGAGATATACGAATGTCTATTATGATAAGAAAGTATCAAAAAAAAATTTGTTAATTGTTATAGAAGAATAAAATAACTAATAATAATTCGTTCATATTTTATATGGTAAAGCAGATCTTGCTGTTCTTTAATCTAAGTAAGATATCTTTCGACTGATGAGTTTGGATAATTTTTTATATATAGCCACAAAAGTTCTGTAGCTATTGCTTAATAGTATATGATACAAATAGAATCCTACGACTTATGATGATCGGAATATTTTTTAAAATATGCGAATTGATTTTTGGTTCGATAACCTTGGCACATCGCATATCACTTTAGATCTATCTCCTTAATTAAAATAAATAAATAAATATTATATTAAAATATATATAATCTAAAAAATAAATAACAAATAGCATACTCTAACTGTAACAGACATACTAATTTTAAATAAATTACCAGTTCAATTCTACAAACGCATGAAGCATATTCATCTCTTCATGTAATTGCCCAGGTATCAAAACCAACTAAGAAAATTTTTCTTTCAACTTAGTGGCATAATGATATGAAATACCATCACATATGACTACCACCCACTTACAAATTCTATCCTTAATACTTAACATTTTCTCTATATACAACAGAATTTGTTCAACACTTATAACAGAATTAGGATTGAGGTTAATCGGATCAGGAACATAGATTTCAGAAATATTAACTTGATCAGTAATTCATTATATAAGGTTAGAAGTAAAGGTAGTGTCTTGTTCATTGTCAATTCTATATTGTTTAAAAATAAGTAGATTAGCTAATTGCTTATTTAAATTATTTTTAATTTCATTCACCTTCTTTTTTTAAATTTCGACTAATATTAGCAGCTGCGTCCTGTAATTTGTATAATTTTTTTTTCAATTCTCAATATTTTGAAGTTTGCAGCTAGGACAAAATTTCATCTTAGTAACATTAGTTGATATAGATATTGCAAGAGAATCAATAATATTAGTAGAAAATTTTCTTCAGATAATAATGTAAGAATCTCAGCTAAATAAGTATATAATTCCTCATCGATAATTTTTTGCATTTCAGAACTAATGTCAAAAAGCTCTTCGAATTAAGACTTGTTAAGAGAATTACATGCCCAAAGTGAATTAGTATATTGAATTTTGCTTTATGATAACATATTAAAGGCAATAAAACTGGTAACAATATGGTAAATAACTATGTTAAATCCTTGATCAAGATAATTTTTTTGTCCCTTTTGCTCATTATCAAATGCAAGAAATAAAAGGTCTTTGAGCAATGGTTCTTCATACTTTGAAAGCTCCTCAAGCTACCTTTGAAAACTATAATAACTTCCTGAGCTTGTAATATAGTTATCGATATTAATGATCATCTTTGATCATGCGATTGAATATTTTATAGCTGAGGCAGCAAGTTGAATTTCTGACATATATTTTCTATGTTGCGCACTATATATCAAATCAATTGCAACAACAATTTTAAAAAGCTTTTCCTAGCTTGAGATATCAGTAATTTGATTATTTTGAACCAGAGTTTCAACAAATTTAATAGCAATTTGGTTATGTTGATCGAGCCATTGACACAGGTTATATGTTATAAGCCTTTCTAAAGAAAACCTGTTGTTATTACGAATTAATAATTCTACAAAAAAATAAAAATTATTAAAAAAAATTATAAATCTTAGAGATTTAATGCACAAAAACAGGAAGAACAAATTCCAGACATCATGTGATCAAAAATAGAATAAATAAAGAAATTAGAGTTCTAGGAAAGATAGCGAATAGTAAGGGTAAAACTAAAGTAGCATTACTCAAAGGGTTTTTAACAAATATACAAAATAATTAGTCTTATCATATCTCTGTACATTCCTAGTAATCATATAATTATTCTGTAGTATTTGTAATTAAATAAATAAAGTATGCTAACTGGCGTCCCTTCTAGAAACGGTTATAAAAAAAAAAAAAAAAAAAATT